ACACACACACGCACACACACACGTAATTTTAAAATTTTTGATTTTATGTGCTTGAGTGTTTTGCCTGTGTGTATTTAAGTGTACCATGTATGACAATGTCTGAGGAGGCCAGAAGAAGGCGTTAGAGCCCCTGGAACTGGAGTTAAGGACAGTGGTTAGCATGCATATAAATGCTGGGAACCGAGCCCAGGTCCTCTGAAAAAGCAGCTGATGTTCTTCACTGCTAAGCCCAGTCTCCAGCCCCAATACACACATTTTTATTTTTATTTTTTTTTTGAGACAGGGTTTTCCTGTATCCCTGTCTGGCCTGAAACTTACTATGTAGACCAGGCTGATCTTGATCTCACAAAGATCTGCCTGCTTCTGCCTCCCCCAGAGTGCTAGGATTAAAAGCATGTGTCACCATGCCTGGCTACACAGAATTTTTTACAAAACCAGTGCTCTAACCCCTGAGCTATGGAGCCCAGGGTTACACACAATTTTTTTGATGAAGGTGAGCAGGTACACCAAATAGAAAACGCATTGCAATTCACCTATACTGAGTATAGGTGAAGAAAGTGCATAGAACTAGAGAGCATCATACAAACTAAGTAAAAAACACTAAAAGACAAGTGTCATATGCATTCTTTCATATGCAGAAACTTAAAAAAAAAAAAGATGATCTGAAAGTAGAAGAGTGACTATTAGGGACTGGGAAGGGGACCAGGGAGGAGAAGTAGGGGAGGAACATGAATGTGATCCAGGCATGATATACAGCTTTATGGAAATGTCGTGGTGAAACCACTAATTTGCCAGGAGTAGTAGCACACACCTGTAATCTTAACACTTGAGAGATATAAGCAGGAGAATCAGGAGTTCAGGGTCATTCTCAGCTACATAGCTAGATAAAGGCCAGACTGAGCTACATGAGACCCTGTTTCAAGGGAAAAAGCCCATTACTTTGTACAATGAATACATGTTAATTAAAAAAAATATATTGTAGTGGCATGGTGGCACACTCCTTTAATCCCAGCTCTTGGAAGGCATTGTTTGAGGCCAGCCAGGTCTACATAGTAAGTTCCAGGCCAGCCAGTGCTACATAATGAGCAATGTCCTGCAATGTCCACAGAGGACAGAAGAGGCTGTCGGATCCCCTGGAACTGGAGATACGGACAGTTGTTAGCTGCCATGTGGGTGCTGGGATTCGAAAATGGCTCTTCTGCAAGAACAGCCAGTGTTCTTAACGGCTGAGCCATCTCTCTAGCCCTCTTTTTACTTTTTTTGAGAAATGATTTCACTAAGTTACCCATGTTGGCCTTGAACTCACTGTGTAGCCCAGGCTTGCCACAAACTTGTAGGCACTCCTCTTGCCTCAGTTTCCTGAATACCTAGGATTACAGACATGAGCTACCAACCTGGATCTGCCTCCTTGGTTTTGTTTTTGTTGTTTGGGTTTTTTTTTTTTTTTTTTTTTTTTTGAGACAGTATCTCCTTGTAGCCCCAGCTGGCCTGGAACTCACTATGTAGACCAGGCTGGCCTTGAACTCACAGAGATCCGCCTGCCTCTGCCTCCCAAGTGCTGGGAGTAAAGGCATGTGCCGTCATGCCTAGTCTCCTTCTCTTGTTTGTTTTTGGTTTTTGTGACAAGTGTCACTATTGTAGCCCTTGCTGGCCTGGCACTCACAGAGATCTGCCTGCCTCTGCTTCTCTGAGTGCAAAATTTGGGCTTTTGACACTCCCTCATAGGAGGGAGTGTGGAGGGTCATTGGAACCTCAACCAAGATTTCAGCTGCTCACTTTTCTATTATATGTAATTCTGCCCAGCTGCACATGGTCTCTTGAGTATAACAACATATAGGGGGTAGGGTAACTGAAGTGGGGGAATTCTGTCTATGGGGCTTTCAGGAGGTCAACACTCAGGGTGATTTTTTCAGTAATGCAGCTGTTTGGGGGCAGCATGCTCCTGTAAATAAACTTAATGGACTCACTGGTTCACCCAGCTTGATGGAATTACTTCTTTAGCCTGTCACTAGTGCTTTATCTGGTGTTAACAGATGTTTGTTCCTGTCTCCCCAGGAAAAGCTGTGCAACACCTATGGAAGATAACATGCTCACATAGTCTAGAAATTAAGACTAAACATCTTTGGAGGATTATTCCTTGGTCTAACATATTGGACATCCCATTTGTATAAAATTTTGGGAAAAATCAGAACTATAGAGACAAGAGCAGATCATTAGTTGCCTGGGTTGAAAGTGTGAGCAAAGATTGAAAACAGGCACAAAATATTTTCTGCAAGGTTGCTATATTTCAGACTTAAGATGTGCATTTTGCCAGGTAGAATGACTCATGCCTATAACCCTGGCATCTAGATGCTGAAGCAGAAAGATCACAAGTCTGAGGCCAGCCTAGGGCTGGTGAGATGGCTCACTGGGTAAGGACCCTTGCCAGCAAGTGTGACAATCTGAGTTCAGTCCTTGAAACCCACATTGAAGAAGGAGAGAACCAATTCCCAAAGTTGTCCTCTGGCCTCCACATGAACATTGACAGGTGCATGTCCCCCCACTAAAAGGAAGGAAGGAGGGAGGGAGGGAGGGAGGAAGGGAAGGAAGGAAGGAAGGAAGGAAGGAAGGAAGGAAGGAAGGAAGGAAGGACATAAAAAGATAAAGGGCCAGTGAGACGGCTTAGCAGGAAGGGCACTTGCCTCCAAGCCTGACAATCTGAGTTAAATCCCCAGAACTTATGTGATGGAAGGAGAGAAGGAACTCCTAAAAGTTGTCCTTTGACCTCCACGTGTCCTTGGCACATACGCATGGGCATGCAAACCCATGCATATACATAGTGCAAAAAATCTGAATATTGGGGTCTGGGCATGGAGACTGACTGAGAAGTCAACAACTTTCTGAAGAGATGGTAATTTATGTGTGAGTGTATTGCCTACATGTATGTGAGTGCACCCATATCGTGCAGTGCCTTTGGACATCAGAAAAAGAGCATTGGATGCCTTGGAACTGTAGTTACAGATGGTTGTTAGCTGCCATGTAGGTGCTGGGAATCAAACCTGGGTTCTCTGCAAGATCAGCCAGTGCTCTTAACCACTGAGCCATTTCTTCAGCCCCAAGATGGTAACTTTTTATAATTTACCAGTGTTTGAATTATACAGGTTTGTTCATTTCTCAAAATTCATTAAATGAGGGGGCTGGAGAGATGGCTCAGTGGTTAAGAACACTGGCTGTTCTTGCAGAAGACTGGGGTTCGAATCCCAACACCCACATGCAGTTTTATGTGTATGTGTGTATTCCCTGCGCGTAGGTCAGTGCACCCGTGTTGTGCGGTGCCCTTGGAGGACAGAAGAGGCTGTCGGATCCCCTGGGACTGGAGTTATGGACAATTGTTAGTTGCCATGTGGGTGCTGGGATTCAAACCCGGGTCTTCTGCAAGAACAACCAGTGCTCTTAACCACTGAGCCATCTCTCCAGCCCCAATAAAATATATTTTTAAAAATTCACTAAATGACTAATTTAAGATTCATATATTTTACCATGTTAATTTTACCTAGAAGGGAAAAAAACCTGAAAACAAAGGATAAACCAATTTATACAATAATTTGTTTGTTTGAGATATGATCTTATTCTGTAGTCTAGGCTGGCTTCAAACTCTTGGGAATCCTCCTGTCTCAGTCTCCCAATGCTGGGATTACAAGCATGAGCCACCACACCTGGCCAATACTATATAGTTCTTTAGATTTAATTACTTTTTTTTTTTTTTTTTTGGTCTTTTTGAGACAGGGTCCCCTGCAGCCCAGCTGGCCTGGAACTCACTGTGTAGACCAGGCAGGTCTTGAACTCACAGAGATCACCTGCCTCTGCCTCCCAAGTGCTTGGGACCACAGGCATGGGCCACCACACCCGGCATATTTACTTACTTTTTATGTATGAGTGTTTTGCCTACATGTATGTAAGTGCAACCATGTGTACAATGCTCACAGAGGTCAGAGGAGGGCATTAGATCTCTTGGAACTGGAGTTACAAACCATTGTTAGCCACCATGTTGGGGCTAGGAACCCAGATCCTTTGCAAAAGCAGCCAGTGCTCTTAATCATTGAGCCAATTCCCCAGTTCCTCCCCAAAACTTTTAGGGACCTTGATTTAGGTCAAACCAGGATCTGTGACTTTGATACAGAAAATAATTTCAAGACTAGCACGTTAGGATGAGGTGGGGTTTCTTTTTTGTTTGTTTTTGAGACAGGCCTCCCTATAGCCTCAGCAGGCCTGGAGCTCGCTATGTGGACCAGGCTGAGCTTGAACTTACAGAGATCCACCTGCCTCTGCTTCCCCAGTGCTAGGATTAAAGGTGTGGGCCACCTCACCCAGCTGGGGTTTATTTTTTTATTAGTGGAAACATCATCTTTTTGATAATTTAAAATTATAAAAGTTCTTGGTGCTGGAGAGATGTCTCAGTGGTCAAGAACACTGACTATTCTTGCAGAAGACCAGGGTTCGAATCCCAGCACCCACAGGGCAGCTAACAACTGTCCGTAACTCCAGCTCCAGGGGATCCGACAGCCTCTTCTGTCCTCCGCAGGCATTGCAGGACATGGGTGCACTTACTAACATGAAGGCATAACACTCATACACATAAAATAAAAATAATAAATATTAAAAAATTATAACAGGCCGGGCGCGGTGGCACACACGCTTTTAATCCCAGCACTCAGGAGGCAGAGGCAGGCAGATGTCTGTGAGTTCAAGGCCAGCCTGGTCTACATAGTGAGTTACAGGACAGCTGGGGCTACAGGGAGACCCGGTCTCAAAAAGACCAAAAACAACAAACTTAAGACATTGAGTTTTTAATTTTCCTTTATTTTAAAATATCTAGTATTTTTATTTTATGTTTGAGTGTACTGCATGGATGTAAGTGCACACGTCATGCAATGCCCATGGAGTTCAGAAGGGGGCATAGGATCCCCTGGAACTAGAGTTACAAACAATTATTAGCCACCATGTGGGTGCTGGGATTCAAACCCGACTTCTTCAAGAACAGCCAGTGCTCTTAACACGTGAGTAATCTCTCCAGTCCCCCCCCCCTTCTTTTTTAAAACATCGAAGTTTTAAAGATTGTTTTTAACTCTACTGGACGGCTCACCAAACTCTGTGGCATGCAATGTGGTGTAGCAAGGACACGCAAAACACACATTAGGTGTTTGCACCCTTGGTCCCAGGCAATCTTCCTAACGCGGTCCAGAGAAGCCAGAACCTTAGACACCCTGTGTAGACGCCACAGCGCGCCCAGAGTCCCTCGGATCCCTAAGTCCTGCCGGGAGCTGGGGAACCGCCTCATTCTCCCTCAGACGCAATCCAGAGCGGCCTTCCACAGCCAGACCCCACCCCTCGGCCACTTCTCGGAAGCGTCCCCGGTGAGCTCCGGCCGCTCTAGGCGGCTGGGGCGCTTCTCTCACGTGGCCTCCGCAACACCCCGGGGCGGGCGCTCCTCCAGCGCCAGGGGGCGCGAGCGGCGAAGGGGCCCTGCTGGCCCGCGGTAGTCGCTCGACTGCTCCCGCCGTGGGCCTGGCGAGCGCCGGCGTTTTCCAGCCACGCGCGGTCGCTCCAGGTGCCGCCGAGATGGAGGGCCCGTTGGATGCCGGGCCTCGGCGGGCGAGCGCTGCAGTCAGCACGGCCGGGTCCACGTCTTCGGGCCGCGAAGCGCGGGCTACTGCAATGCCCTGGGCGCGCTTCTCGGCCTGGCTGGAGTGCGTGTGCGTGGTCACCTTCGATCTGGAGCTAGGCCAGGCGCTGGAGGTGAGCAGACACAGGCGGGCCGACCCCAGCTCAGCTTCCACGCCTCCCCTTCTGCGACCTGGACCTCCTCCGACGCCCCTCCCCTCCGGACGCCCCTCCTCCCCCCATGCCCCTCCCTCGCGCGCGCGGCTCCCTCACCAGCCCTCCCCGTCCCCTGCTTCTCATCTCCCCTCCTGTCCCCAGCACCGCGCCGCTTCCCTATCCCGCTGGCCTTCCGCCCACGAAGCTGGTCCCATTGCGTCGCCTGTAGCGTTCCTGCTTGGTCTAGGGGACTTCTTAGGCGCCCCCCCAATACTTTGTATGCTCAGGCTGACCCTTCACCCACTTCCTCCCTCCGAATAGCGACTTAGTGACCTCATCCTTCCTGTGCTTGCTCTTCCTTACAGCTCCTGGAGTGCTCCTCTGGCAAAGGAAGGAAAGATTAGTGGGTGCTGAGGCCTTATTGCTATCTAGCACGGTACCCTCTGCAACATCTCCCGCAGACCTTTCCCCACGGAGGTATCCTCTGGCCAGAGGCCCAGGGTCTTCCTCCTTTCACTCTGTATCCCTTGCCTGGACAAGACTGTTCTTGGCAACGAGGATCTCTACCCCATTGTGTCTACTGCAGTCACAATGTCACCCCCTGCTAAAAATCCCACATATTTAAATATTTGTGTTTCTCCTGCTTAAAATCCTGTAGCACTTCTCTTTCATTTAGAATCGGATCTAGAACCTGTGAGGCCCTATTAGGCCCCTCTGTTTTAAGCTATTCTCAACCTTTGGCATCTGGTCACCAGCTGTGTGCAGCTGGGGCTGGGCTTACGCCTTTGATGTGGTCTTCCTGTGACCTGCAAGCCTCTACGCTACCCACCCACTCACCCACCCATCCATCCGTCCACACCCACACATATAAAGGGTAGCAGCTTCTCTTTCTCTAGGTATAAATGAAAATATCAGCCAGGTGAAGTGGTGCATATTTTACCCCAGCATTGGGGGGTGGGGGATTCATGAATTTGAGGTCAGTATGGGTTATATAGTGAGTTCCAGGCCAGCATGAATTACAGAGTGAAACCCTGTCTCAAAAGGGGGTGGGAGTGAGAAAATGTTACAGGCCAGTGAGGCCTTTGGCAGACCCAGTCAAGACAATTTCTGTGTTTTAAAGGACCCTGACCATAAACAGGGAGTGGGGGTGGGGTGAGGGGGTGTCTAGCACAGGGGATGGTCACTGCAGATGAAGGCGTAGGGAGGCAGACAACACTACACTGTCAGAGAAACTTGTGAGAGCCAGAGAGGTTGTGGGCATGCCTGAAATAAGGCTGAACAGCCACTCTTAGAATAGCTAGCATAGCATGCCCCTGTGGTTAGGAGATGCTGAGGCCCTGATCTCTGAGAGAACAGAAAAGTGTTAATTCTTAGGAAGAACTCCAAGGCTTCTTAGAGACTTCATCCTTCTACACATTATCCTTGCCAGGTACACTATTGCAAGGTAGCACTTGACAAGGGTAAGGTGATTTGCCCTGGGTTGCAAAGCCCTACTTTCTGTTGTCTAAATTGTTTCCCATAAAATTACAGCCAAAGAGACCTTTCCTCCACGCCGTCTCATATCTTGTCTAAAACATAACCATCCAGAAAATTAATTCTAAACAAGTACTGACGTGTTTATTTTGTTGTATTTTTATTGTTTGTTTGAGACAGGGTCTCCCTGTAACCCCAGATGGCCTGGAACTTCTCCATGTAGACCAGGCTAATCTCAAACTCACAGAGATCTGCCTGAGTCTGCCTCCAGAGTGCTGGGGTTAAAGGTAGGCACCACCATGCCTATATCTTGCTTTGTTTGTTTGTCTTTGTTTTTTTTTTTTTTTAATTTTTCTTTTTGTCTTTTTGAGGCAGGATCTCTCTGTAGCCACAGCTGGCCTGGAACTCACTATGGAGACCAGGCTGGCCTCAGTCTCACAGAGATCTACCTGCCTCTACCTCCTGAGTGCTGGCACTAAAGGCATGTGCCACCATACTAGGCTTTTTTTTTCTTTCCCCCTAAGGATTTATTTATTTATTATATTTTATTTGTGTGTGTGTGTGTGTACAAGTGTATTGTCTGCATGTATGTGAGTGTACCCATGTCGTGCAATGCCTTGGAGGTCAGAAGAGGGCATCATATTCCCCTGGAACTGGAATTAAGGGTGGTTCTTAGCCGCCATGTGGGTACGGGGAATTGAACCCAGGTCCTCTGCAAGTGTGTGTGTGTGTGTGTGTGTGTGTGTGTGTGTGCACGTGTACATCTGTGTATGTCTGTGTGTATACTACTTGTGTGCAGGTACTAGAGGGGGCCAGAAGAGGGTGTCGGATTCCCTGGAGCTAGAATTACAGGGGATTGTAAGCCACCTTATGTGGGTGTTGAGGACCAAATATGGGTCACCTGGAAGAGTAGCTAGTGCTCTTAACCACTAAGTCATTTCTCCAACCCATGTTTTGGGGGTTGTTTTGTTTTGTTTTTGTTGTTGTTCTTTTTTGAGACAGGGTCTCCCTGTAGCCCCAGCTGTCCTAGAACTCAACTATGTAGACCAGGCTGGCCTTGAACTCAGAGATCTGCCTACCTCTGCCTTCCAAGTGCTGGGATTAAAGGTGTGCGCCACCACACCTGGCTCCGTTTTGTTTTTTATGAAAGGTTTCACATAGCCCAAACTGACCTCAAACGTATTATGTACGTTTGAGGGAAGGATAACCTTGAACTTCTGATCCTGTGATTCCTGCCTCCCAAGTACTGGGAGTGCCATCACACTCAGTTTATGGGGTGCTGGAGATGTAACCCAGGGCTTTGTGCAGTGCATGCTACGGAAGCACTTGGCTAGCTACAACCCCAACTTATTTTTATTTTTATTTTTATTTTTGATTTTGAGATAGGGTCTTGCTATATAGCCTTGGTTGGCCTGGAACTCACTAGTATGCTAGGCTGTTCTTGAGCTTGTAGCAGTCCTCCTGTCTCTGGCTCTCAAGTGTTGGTGTTACAGACATACATCATTATGGCTGACCTGGAAGTACTATTAAGGGCTCCTGTCCTTAATATGCACTTGGGCTCCTGAGCTTTTGCTGAGGCTATACAGTGGGCAGTGGGTTTTGGAGTGCAGCTGGCTGAGTATTGGAGACCCAGGGCCACCTCCAAAATGTTCCATAGCCGTAACGTGCATCTCTGCCAGTCACTGAATGTGTGTAGAAACCTCGCAGTGAGTCCATGGGGGGACTCATGCACATGACCATCAGATTTGCCTCTTGCCTTGCCTTCTCACCCTAGAACTATCAGGGAAGTACAGGGTCCTGTACTCATTCACAGTTCAGCCTGGCTGAGCATCATGAAGCCCAGAATTGAGTGTGGTACAGGGATATGGAAGGAAGTCACAGGCTATGTCCTGGAGATTCAAACAGGCTCAGCTAAGTCCTGAAGGAGGCAGCGAGACTAGAAAGGGCCCATTTCAGGTGACCTCCTCCCTCAAAAAGCTAACATAAGTCAAAGCAAGGAATGATCTGTTGATTCATTTATCAATAAACCAAGTTCTGAGCAGCCATCACCAGTGAGACCCTACTGTGCTCACGCCCATAAAAGTAACTGGGAACATGAGCTCTTGCCCTTGCCCTGTAGGAGTTCACCTCTGCCCAAAACAGGGTAAGTAGTTTGAACCTGTAGTACTTGCAGAATCTTTAGCACCCCTATGCAGATGGCTGCACTGGAACCTACATGCAAGGCAATACATCTAGCTTTAAAGGGAAATGGGCAGGGGTGTGTGTGTGTGTGTGTGCACGCGCCTGGTACATGCAGGTCTACTGAAGGGCCTGGCTCTGCCATCTCAGCCCTTGAAAACTCACTTCAATATTCCAGCTCACCTGAAGGCCTCCGGGGTGTCCTGTGGCCAGTGTGCCCAAAGAGCTCCTACTAGTGTCCACACCCTCCCAGGCAGCAGCTCCTACAAGCTCAGTGCCCCTTTATAGTCTTAAAACTGAGGACTCCAGAGACCCTTTTTTTTTTTTTTTTTTTTAAATGTGTATACCTTAAACCTGCTCAAGTTTATGTGCACCTTGTGCATACAGGAGCTTGAAGTGGCCAGAGTGGGTGTCAGATCCTCCTGGAACTGGAGTTGCAGGTAGTTCCTAGTTGCCGTGTGTATACTGGGAACCAAACCCTGGTCCTCTACAAGAGCAGGGAAAAATGAGTGAAAAAGAGAGATCATTCGACAGTTTCACAAATCTATTTAATGACTGACTGAACAGAAGATAGCTGTGTCTTTACATTAGCTCCTGTAGCCAGTCTAGCCTTTGTAAACTGCATGTATCCTATGAAAAAGCAGGAGTGAAGAAAGCCCTACCTCATGAGAATAGCTTTGGTTGCACATTGTGAGAACCTCTGCCTACATTTACCTTCTCCAAGCCAATTTTACCAGGTCTCTTAGTGAGAGCTGAGTGACCTCTATAGGCTAGGTGACCTTGGTAATCTTGCACAGGGCAAAACCTGACTTTGGAGAACTCTCGCTTTGAGGGTTTACTCTATTTGCCCTCTCTTTGGTGTGATCTATCCTGGCTCTTACTCAGCACTGAGCTCTATGCTTATGTGGGATCTGGAGTCACTTCTGAAAAGGAAGTGCTAGCCCACAAACTTGAGTTTCCCTGATCATGGAGTTCAGAGCTTGAAGTAGTTTTTCATCGTTTATTTATTTATTTATTTTTTATTTTTTATTTTTTTTATTTTTTTTGAGACAGGGTTTCCCTGTAGCCCAACTGTCCTGGAACTCACTATGTAGACCAGGCTGGCCTCACAGAGATCCGCTTGTCTCTGTGTCCTGAGTGATGGGACTAAATAAAGGCATGAATCACCATGCCCAGCCGATTTGTTTGTTTGTTTGTTTGTTTTTTGGTCTTTCTGAGACAGGGTCTCCCTGTAGCCCCAGCTGTCCTGGAACTCACTATGTAGACTAGGCTGGCCTTGAACTCACAGAGATCCGCCTGCCTCTGCCTCCCAAGTGCTAGGATTAAAGGCGTGTGCTACCACGCCCGGCTGTTTTGTTTTTTTTGAGACAAGGTTTCATTATATAGTCCTGGCTGGACTGGCTTCAAACTCACAGAAATCCACCTACCTCTGCCTCTTGAATGCTGGGATTAAGGGCATGCACCATCACGCTTGGCTGAGGTAGCTTCTTTTGATGGTGCAGGACTCCTCTTGCCATCCTACCAGGTATAGACACCTGACCTGGGGAAAGGCCCATCGTGCCCCTGACTTAGCAACCAGGTACCTGCCCTTCCTTGACGCTCCTCAGTGCAGACACAGGGTTAGCCTGTGTGGTCTTGTGATCCCCTGGCACTATTTTGAGGCTTCTCAGTAGGTCAAGCCTTACTGACAAATCCCCCTTGACTTTGTTCTATCTCCTGATTCCCTCCCTTGGTACAAGCATAGCTTGACTATGTTCCCCTCAGAGGTTAACCTGCTATGTTAGTCACATTGTTCCATAGAGAACCAATAGGTTGGATAGATGGGTGGGTAGATGAGAGAAGATTTATTAAAGAAATTGTCTTATATGATTATGGGGGCCAAGTCCCATAAGAGGCTGACTGTAACTGGAGACCCTGGAAATCTGGTAGCATGACTCAGTCCAAGTCTGAAGACTGAAGAACCAGGAGAGCTGTGATGTATCTCTCAGCCCCAGGTAGAAGGCGTGAGACAGAAACCTAGGTGGAGGTGATTGGTGATATTCAAGAGCAGGAGAAAATATGTCCTAACTCTAGGAAGAGACAGAGAAAATTGCCTTTGCTTTTTTGGTTCTACTTGGGCTCCAGCCAACTGGAGGATGCTTCTCCACATTGAGAAGCAGAAGCAGGAAGAGGATGGCTGCAAGATTGAGGTCAATCTACAAACCTAGGCCAAACAAGGACAAAAGCAGTGCTGTTTCTGCAAGGTGGGCTGTTTCCAGCCACTTCACCTTTTGTGAGGGCTCAGCACACTTCAGAAGCCTTGTTTCAGCCTGGAGGACCCTCAGCATTAGATACTGGGCAAACAGAAAGGAAACTGCCTACAAAGGCCTGTAGCAGGTTCCAGACACACATGCTTTCTAGGAGAGGCAGCACAAGAGAGACCAAGGGGCCAGTAGTAACCTTTTAAAAAATATATTTATTTATTTATTATTTAATTATTTAATTTGATCTTTTTGAGACAGGTCTCCCTGTAGTCCCAACTGACCTGGAACTCGCTAGGTATACCAGACTGGCCTCAAACTCACAGAAATTTTCCTGCTTCTGCCTTCCAAGTACTGGGACTAAAGCATGTGCCACCAAGCTCTGTGGTTATTTTTTATTTTTAATGTGTATGAGTGTATTGCCTGTGTGTAGGTAGGTACACCCGTGTCATGCAATGCCTACAGAGGTCAGAAGAGGGCATCGGATCCCCTGGAACTGGAGTTACCTATGGTTGTTAGTCACTATATGGGTGATAGGAATTGAACCTGGCTCCTCTGCAAGAGCAGCCAGTACCCTTAACCGCTGAGCCATCTCTCCAGCCCCACCAATAACCTTTTTAACATCTAACAGAGAAATCCATTCTGGCTACTTACCAGTGCAGTGAGCTACTGGACCTCAGCTCCAAGTTGTGTCTACCCATATTGCTGCCTCTTCCAGAGCATGGCTGGTCTCTAAACATTGAGAGCTATTATTTAGCACCTGTGTTTCACAGACTGTCCACTCCAAGGGAGAATAGGATATATCCCTGGGTGGCAAGCAGGTGAAGATAAAAGAACAGGGACAGATAAAGAGAGCCTCACAGGGAATGGCCATCATGGGATAGAGTCACTGTGGAGGCAGGTGACATCTGCACAAAAATGTGATTTCCCAGCCTTGGGAGAGGTATAAAGGAGATGAAGGATTAGCCAGGTGGTCCTTGTGGCTATTCTAGGCAAATGGGCTCTGAACCCACTCTTCTGAGGTTGTGGAGACTGGACAGTCTAGATGGGAAGTGTTAAGGTTTGGCCAGGAGGATAGATGTGAAAGGGGTTGGGAAGCTCACCCATTTATGCTGGCCTTGTGCTGAAAGGCCTATGAAGTGGTAATTGAGAAGCCTTGGACTGAAAGGGTGATACACTAGGACTGGAGGTCAGGGAAAGAAGGAATCAAGGAGAAGGAGGGTCTAGTTCAGAGAAGACAGATGCAGGGAAGAAAAAGGAAAGCCAGGGAGTGATCCAGAAGGAGAGGCTGCTCTAGCAGGCACATGCTATGGCCCCTGCCTAGGCATATCACCCCAACTGACTTTAGAGGAAGTTATTACCTGAGGCAGATGCAGTGTCACCAAGTGCTCTGTCTTCTCCTGCAGCTAGTCTACCCAAGTGATTTCCGGCTCACAGACAAGGAGGTAGGTCCTGGCCTTCTTGGGAGTGGATGTCCCTAAGAGTGAGCCAGCCCTCACTGGGCTCTTATGTGTTTCAGAAAAGCAGCATCTGCTACCTGTCCTTTCCAGACTCCCACTCAGGTAGGTGACTCCAAACTTCCTAACTAAACTTTGGCTCTGGGACTAGGAGGTAATGGGCAAAAAGGGCAATGGGGCCCATGCCAGTGACATCTAGGCTGCCAGCAGTGCACAGTGTACTGTAAGAGTGGGGCCCTTACCAGAGCCGAAGTTCCAGAAGGGTACTCGGATTCTGTAGAGTCCCATGGATAGCCATATCTCTAGGCAGTCTGGTCTCTTTCACCCCATCACAGCAACCACCAGGCAACCATTTTGTAGTGACTGTTCTCCTGTCCTAGACAGGTTGAGCCAGGCTCCCACAGGGAAACTGAAGGTGGTTCTTTGTGTTGACCTAAGACCTTTAGGGCATCAAGATAAGAGTCCATTGGAAAACAGATCCTCAACCCAGTTTTCCCCCAAATGCGCATTAGTGCTAATATAGGTCATCCCAGCAGTGCCTCTGTACCATGGTCCCCACCTCTGACAGTGATGGGAGAGGCTCCCAGCCCTGACATGTGTGATGGGGCTGCCCCCTTCTCAGGCTGCCTTGGGGATACTCAGTTCAGTTTCCGTATGCGTCAGTGTGGAGGACAGAGGAGCCCCTGGCATGCCGATGACAGGCCTTACAACAGCAAGGCCCCCTTGGCACTGCAGGTGAGTAGTGGGCTGCGTCTCTGACTTCTTTCCGCTTCCCTGGGCTCCTGGCTGGTATGAGCAGCCCCTTTCAAACCCTTGGACCCTGTGTGACAGAAATGCTGGCCAGTCCCATTCTATGAGGGTAATAAGTGCTGAAAACCCTGCTAGTCCTAAACTAGGAGTCTCCTGGGAGTAGGCCAGGTCTTCTAGGGCTTTCTAAGATCACTGCAGTTCATTCTATGCATCCTGTCTCCCTAGCTGGGCACCTGTATAGTTAAATAAGCTGTGATGTGACTCAATGAGCAGAAGCCTTCAGGGCCTTTCAGGTCTCAGGACTCTTGGGGCATCCCCTCTCACATTAGCTGAGCCCTTGCTCTATCAGCAGATGTTCTCTAGGCTGGTATTGCTTACTTTCTGAACCAAGAAATTCCAGGCCCAACCCTATAGGCAGAGGACAAGTCCTAGACTCAGGAGCAGTGGCTCTTGGATCTCCCATATCCCTAGACTTCCTTAACAGCCTCTGCTTGTTGTCATCCCTGGCCCTGGACCTAGCTGAATGGCCTGGGTAGGGCATGGCTAACACTACACTCCTTACAGAGGGAGCCAGCACACTACTTGGGCTATGTGTACTTCAGACAGGTGAAGGACAGCTCTGTGAAGAGGGGCTACTTCCAGAAGGTGAGCTACCCTCCACTGTGAGGTAGTGCTGTGGAGGGATAGGGACTGATGGACAGCAAAGGGACAACTTGTGAAGAGTGCTGCACCTCCAGGAATACCCACCCTTCTACAGCCCACCTATGTAGCAGGACCAAGGAGGAGCCACCAACCACTGGGCCCAGTGCTCCTTGCAGTCCCTACCTTGCCTAGCATGGCACCTGGGCCTTTTTGTCCCTAGGCCTAAAATGTCCCTTCTCCCTACATCATCACACTGTCAGGGTTAGAACAACTTCAATTTTGATCTCAGACACTAAAGGTGTAAGTTGCTTGATTTCTGAGGAGATAGTTTCAGAAATCTTGGCTAGCTCACATTTCCCTCTGAAGGCCCCAGGTCCAGCCCTACCCTGCTACCCTCTAGGGCAGGATACAGTCATCATGCTTTCTCTTGTCTAATCACGACACATGAGTTAGGCTGTTCTGTGACAGCTGTCCTAAAGGGTTGAGATGCGTTGCCCTGGCTGGGAAAGCACGGCTTTACGGTTGACATGACTCCTGAATTACTAGAATGATGTCTGGAGCTGAATGCCCTCTGACTGGCCCTGTATCACCACAGTCTTTGGTGCTGGTGTCCCGCCTGCCCTTTGTCCGACTGTTCCAGTCACTGCTAAGCCTGATTGCCCCTGAGTACTTTGAGAAGCTGGCACCCTGCTTGGAAGCAGGTGAGTGGCTTTCAGACATGGCCAATGTGGTCTCGTCTCAGCTGTAGCCTCTCATAGGCCTCAGCAGTAAACATCCCCTTGGGGAGGGCTCCTGACATTGGCCATCTATGTCCACAGTTTGTAATGAGATTGACCAGTGGCCAGCCCCTGTGCCTGGGCAGACCCTGAACCTACCTATCATGGGAATCGTCATTCAGGTGAGGGCCAGCTGAGAAGTAAGCACTGCTGGTGCTGTTGGGTGGAGACACCCTACTTCCCTCTGGCTGCTGTTGCCTTCCTCCCCAGGTGCACATTCCATCCAGGGTGGACAAGCTGGAATCCAGTCCTCCAAAGCAGTATGACCAAGAGGTGCGGGGTGGGATGGAGGAAACTGGGCTTTGCCTAAGCCCTGTTCCTGAGCAGGGTGGTATCTCCTCTGCCTCACCAGCCCACCCTGCAGGGTGGCCAAACCTAGGCAAAGCCATGATGATACCCAGCATGTTTCAGTACAGGGCCTGTGCTAGAGGGAGGAGAATGGCATGGGACAGGGGCTACAAGTCTATCATCCAATACAGCCTTCACCTTGGCCACAATCCACCTTCCCTTCACCTCTTAGAACCTGCTGCCAGCCCCAGTGGTCCTCACTAGTGTCCATGAACTGGATCTGTTCAGGTAAGCCCTAAAAGGTGCTGTAGGCTGCTTTGTGGGAGCCCACCCACATTTACATACATGCAAATATGTATGCCATACAGGCCAGCACTGTCAAGGAAGAGGCAGGGCTGCTCATCTGAGTGATTCTTGAGACATTCATACAGCAAAGGAAACCTGTGCTCAAGTCTGTGACCTAGAGGAAATGGGCACATTGAGTAGTAAGGTTCTAGAAGATAGGTTCCCAGAGAGGTTGTCAGAAGAATTTGCTGCCTGAGGCTGCCCCTCTGTGCCTTTCTAGGTGTCTTCAAGGGAGCCTGAACTTTGAGACTGTCTTGTCCCAGCAGGAGCCAGGGCTTTAGCCTGGAGGCGTAGGAGGCATAAGACTGCAAGGCTCTAGCCAGGCAGTCCCTTTTGGGGCTTTGGGGCTGCAGTAGGACTGCAGCCCCTTCACAGGCAGTGTCCAGTCAGGTCTCCTAAGCCATACCTAGCTCAGGTAGGCTGTCAGAACATGGGGTGGCTCTGGAGACCTGAGACACCTCTTAGACCTTCAAACAACATTATCACTGTCTTTGGGAGGGGCAGTGCCCTGTGCTCACTAAAGTATCTGCATAACAGAGCGCTGCCTGACCTCCCAAACTGCCCTATCCTGCACCAGGTGCTTCCGGCCTGTGCTGACCCATGTGCAGACACTGTGGGAGCTCATGCTCCTCGGGGAGCCACTAGTGGTTCTGGCACCTTCACCTGACATGTCTTCAGAGCTGGTGCTAGCCCTGACTAGGTAAACACCTTGCCCACCAGATCATTGTGGCTGTGCTTATTTTTCTCTACCTCACATACTCCCTGTCTCACCCCCACAGCTGCCTACAGCCCCTCAAGTTCTGCTGTGACTTCCGCCCCTACTTCACCATTCATGACAGTGAGTTCAAGGAGCTCACAACTCGCACACAAGCTCCGTAAGTGCATGTCCTCCCTTCCTGTTCCCACACCACATCCCCTGGGCATTTCTCTGCCTCTTCTCTCTCTCTCTCTCTCTCTCTCTCTCTCTCTCTCTCTCTCGCCTGCTGCTCTGTAGTTAGCAGGGAGAGCAGACTCCCTCAGGA